GCAAGCAATGCTGTTATTGCTGTACAGAAATGTGTTCACTTCAGCCAAATCACTTCCACTACCCATCTTCAAAAGAGGTGGATACTTCCTGTATTATTTAGATAAGGAAACTGAGAAACTTCTTCTCAGAATTAGGGAATGTTATAGAAATAACAGCCAGACCTGGGTTTCCTGAGCTTCCAAATATGCTCACCGTTCAGAGCATATTTGTCTCAGGAGCAAAATGTTTTTACACATGGACACATTATGAGGCTAAGCACAAGAAAGTGAATGAGTATGGTATCATGTGGTCACAACAGGAGATGTCTGAGGCAAGTCACAGAATCCATCCAACTAAGTATGTATCAGGGAAAAAGGAGAAAAAGGATTCTGAAGTCTGCATTTTCATTCGTTCTGATTATTGTTTCTTTTCCAAATACATGCCTTTGAAATCAACAATTTATCAATTTGGTTTGTTGGTGGTGATTTAATTGTTGCTTTTTTTAAACATTATTTATATGTGTATAGTCTTCCTTGCAATATCACCTACATTTCTTGATCTTAATTTCATGAAGCCATGAACAGACACAAACATGCCGGCCTTGTGGCACAGTCTTATAGCCAGCCTTGTGCACTAGTGACTTATGTCCAACCTTTATATTGTGGAAAGCATTCTGTGGCAACACAGGTGAAAACAAAGTAGTTGAAATATCTCTAAGTAATCTGATCAAAAGACAGCATAGCACACAATATGGTATATTAAAAACATTCTTTGCATTAAAAGAACATATTAAAAGAACAAATTGATATGCTGCCAAGGGGAAAATCAGCACTTAAATGATGGAGAAATTGAGGGTTAGTAGGAGAAATAAGAAACTGGCAGCCTGCAGTAGTAAGTGACATGTCCTCCTTTACATTGCATTCCCCCACATTTTGAAAAGCCGTGTCACACCAAACCATTATAACAAGAAGAGACCCTGTTCCTGTGGCTTGTTAAGCACTGTTTTAAGCACATGGAGAAGCAGAGGGCTTAGAGGATTATCATTCCTGCCAACACAAGGAATTCCTGTGCTGCTTCCACAGCAGAGTCTTACCAGATGAGCACGGCTAATATACCACTTTCAAATCTGAAGAAGACAAAGATATCTTGTGGATTTTAGTGATTCCTTTGGATTATAGAGAGGGGGGAAAAAAAGTCCAGCTGATGTTCTCACTGCTCTGATAGTTCTGTTTGATTTTCTTTCAAACACAAAGCAAGTCCTTGATCTGCCAGCAGTATTTGTCCTGAACCTGTAAACCACTGCAAGAAGTACAGTGGAAACTTGAGGAGCTACTTCCACAGTTGTACAAACACAGTGCCCAAAAGGTGGTGCAATTTCAGCGTTTAGTCTGATATTATTATTAGAATTAGTCAAAATTAGTCTGCAGCTACACCCTTTCTCCTTTCCCCTTAGCAATGCCAATGGAGTAGCACACAATCTACATAGCCACCTGTACTGCAAAAAGAAACATGATCTTGTAGACTGCTGATAATTGATTACTTATGTTTAAAATTACTAAAGATACTACGGACTGCATTAAGCAAAGGGAAAAAAATAATCATCTGGTTTAGGATACTTTTGTGTATTTTGTATGTGTCTTCCTTCGGAATCAGAAGATTTTTGTGTGAATGAAGTCCAAAAGGAGAAGAACATCGCTAAGAATGTCCTGTTTCTCTCTCAGCAGTGGTGTGCCTGTTGTTTCTTAGAAATTACACATCTAACAGAATTGAAGCCACACTGACTACGTGGACTGCATACCTTCCTGGATTTCTCATGTTGGTTAGGCAGGCTAATTGTTGCCTTTGTGTGTGGCAATCCATAAATGGCCTCACTGGGTTTTCTCTAAGTAAGAGAAATTCATCAAAGCACATCTTAAATTACTTATTATGGCATCATCTTGGGCTATAATGAGAGCCCACATCAGGAAAGAAGCTGTAAGGGATGGGAAAGCGTGGGAACTGAAAGATGACACATGGTAAGAGATACCATGTGCCTAAAGAGAAACTACTATTTCAGTTTTACAAGATCTAGCCTGCTTGGTACACCCTAACAAGCATCATGGAGAGCTTGTTTAGGGTGTGTGCAAACCAACTGGGTGATCACAGGGACTACAATAGAACAGCAGCTGACACAGCAATGTGACTAAAATGCAACTCCAGTTAGCTCTATAGATAGATACAAAACTAACGGCTACTTGCAAAGTATTTTAGCCTTGTTTTATTCAAAGACAAATAAAGATGCTAGATACACAAATGATCCTTCTGTTCAATTAGATTAAGGATTTTATTTCCTTAGATTCCTGAAAATTCCTCACTAGACTTGCTAGGTATTTCCAGGGGAGCAGTACAACGCTTACTTTATCAGTTACAAGAACCCTTTCTGCCTGCAAATTAGTAGTAGCCTCAGTTTTGATCTTCTCTTTGCTATTTCAAAAACAAAGAAATACAAAAACAAAGCAAACAAAAAAGATAGGTCATCTACTGGAAGCAAGCAGTGCTAAAAAGCATCCTAGGCAACTTTATTGTACTCTGTACATGATGTTCTGACAGTAGATTTTATGTCTAAAGCCTCATAATAAGTGTCACTGACTCAACTTAAAAACTAGTGAAAACAAAAGACCTTGAATTTCAAGAATCATGTAAGGAACAGTGAATAACACTTCAGTTTCTTAACTGCTACCCTTCCATTACTGATGTTCAAATTCATGAATTAAGGTGCTACTGTTTATATTTTATACCTAAAGTAAAAATGTTTCTTGTGACAGAAGAGAGACAAATGCTATTTAAATTTCTTATCTCAGGAGATGCCTGAAGAGTCCTGTAATTCTGCTGTGTTTTCTAATGCTGTAGCTCAATTCTGATCTGGTATTTTATTTCAGCATAGGACTGCAGAGCAAGGGGACCCCAGCTGAGTTTTACGGTACCTGTGGCGCAGGCTGATACTGCCACCTTGGGGAGGACTTTTTCCGCATTTGAGGAGTCCATGGAAATGTTATATAAATCAGCTTGATTTTTCCTCCTGTCATATCCTCCCAGGAAGACAACTTTTTAAAATCCTCTGCCCATGCAGCTGTTAAGACCTTCCAGATGTGGTCCAACTTGGATTATATTCCATTCACAATAATACTAGAAAGAAATGCTTTTTTATTTAAGTTTTTTAACATAAATTATAATACAGGGAAAGATATCATGTCTGACTTCTCACTAGAAGAGGCAGGCTCAAGAGCACTTGTCTATGTGCTCTTAAAAACAAGTAACAAAATCTTTTACACAGCCACCTTCAGCCAAGTAACACAAACGATGAACTCATTCATGACAAACTATGTGGATCTACACAAGGAGCTCCTACCTTCTGCCAGAGCACTGGTTGTGCTGGTGGCTCCCTGGCAGGAGACAACATGCTTCTAGAGGAACTGCAGTCCCACTTCACTGCTGTGGCTGGCAGGAGCAGCCCTGGTACTGTGGTAAACCAACACTTCCAGGCTCCTACAGAGAGCTACAACTTGGATGACGATGTCCCCAGCAGGACTGGGCTCTGGAAAGCACATTCCTCTTTTCCTGCCACCACATACAGCTTACGTACCAGATTCCTGTTCTTACTGACAAGTACCTTAATACCCTTGGAGTAAACTTGTGCCTGCACCCCCTGGGATTAACAGAGAGACGGCTGATCCTTTTGAACAGACAGGACAGGCTCATCCACTCTTCCATTCTATAACTACAACCTGGCCATTAAAGCACAAATTTGCATTTATTTTCTAACTAGTTACTTTCCCACTTGTGGAAAATTGTCAAAAAAGCAAGTGATAGATCCTTTCTGGACAATCTTCTATCTGTGGTTTTAATGCTACTATAGCATGGAAAATAATGATGCTTGCAAGAGAAATATATTAGGCTAACAGCTAATGTACATGACTGGCAGTTTGCAAGAAGCCTTCAGTTTTCTTCCTGGTTCACAAAAAAATTCTGTATTTGAATATATTTGTTATTATTTTAATTCATCTTTGTTACGCAAACATCTTTATATCTGCAAATTATTTACACTGTACTACAAAAATACTGCAATTAATAATTTATTGCAATAAGAGAGTGCATTTGCTATTCATATGCATATATGAAGACATATTCAAGAAAATGCAATACAAAGGAATCTCACTGCTACATTTACCACTTGCATGTTTATCTGCTAGTGGAATTAATTTACTTTTAAAAATATCAACGTCATGCAACCACTTACGTGACTTCAAAAACAGCATTTGGAGCTAAGTTACAAAAATTCAACAGTGCCAATTACTGACCAAACATATGCAATTGAATGAGGCTCTATCAGTAATAATTAACCAGATTAATGTGTACGTAACAGTCTCAGTATGGTACGGTGCTCCTGTTAGTTTCAAAGTTCACATATGAACTTCTTTTTACACAGCACATGTGGTTAATGAATGAAGCCTGAATGAAAGAGGAAATTAAGAGAAAATAAGGTAAGTGACCCAAAATGAAACTAATTTAAGTGTAGACTACTTAAAGGGGAAAAAAAACCACAGATCTTTGACTATGATTTAAAAAAGGAATGGATGAATCCATGTCCACTACTTCCTATTATTACACTAAGTGTACAATGCATATCTAGACTGATGAATAATTGAAGACAACAATTTCGTAAGATGTCTTTTTTGAAAGGAAATTGATCGTTGAAAAATCCACAAAAACCTCACTGTGAATTCAGTAAGGAAGATTATAAAATACATATTCAATGCTACCTGTAACAATATTAGTATATTACTACCTCTTGCATCTTGGTTTTGCACTGAAGTTATTTCAAAAGATTAATCCTCACGGAGTTAATATGAGAAAGCTTAAACTGTACAGCAAGAATCTAAATAAACACAGGAAATCCCAGTCTGAAATGATCCATGACTTACCTATGAGTACCTAAACATGGTATCTTAAAAAAAAATTAAAATAAAATAAAAAAATTCTGAAATTCACATGTCACAGAAACTTCAAATCCACTATTTGCCACTATGGTTTTACCTTCTGAAATACATCTCAATTTATTCAAACAACAAGTTTTCCCGTTAGACGATCAGTACATACCAAAAGCCCTTTGGATACTGGGTTACTGAAAAGTACAAAGAGAATGAGACATCTTGTTTATGAACAAATAGAGTAACTGGAAACGATACCAAGCCAACTCCCTCTATCCACCACTCCATGCTTTTCCACTTACTGTGCTAAAAAGTTGGTTTAGCATACATTTCCAAAATCTAACTTTCATGAGAATGGCTATTTCAGCTCCCCTCCTTTTTTTAAACTGAGGTATTCATCTGCATCAGAAAGTGCTTTCAGACTTGTCTATTTCAACATCAGTGGTAGCCTATGAAAGACATATTTTAAGCTGTTCTCTGCTGTGAAAGTTCTCCCTTAAAATCTACTTCTCCTTTATTATTCTTTTTCCTTAAACAAGTAAATATTTACATCCTGAAACACTGTCACTTAATAATAGTACCACCTATTTGTCACCATTCTCTTCTTCCTTCCCTAGTTTCCCTCCTTTTCCTAGCCAACTACTCTCCCAGAAGGGCAACAGTGTTTTCCACAGCTGTTTCCCAACTCCTCCCTTCTCTGTTGCATCTCCAAAACTCTATTTTGCTTCTTCCTGAAACTCTTCATATTTCAGGCAGGGAAAAACACTCAAAAGACTTTGAATATTGGAAATTCTTGCCTCTACTTTTTTTCCCCCTGGAGTCATCTGAAGCACCTTGTTATTTGTACTTAGTGACAGGTTTGCGGATAAAAGCAGAGACAATGGCAGACAGCAATGAAATGACCATCAACCTTGTTGTCCTTGGAAAACCTCAGAGTGGCAAAAGTGCTGCTGGGAACAGCCTGTTGGGCAGCTCAGACTTCGAGAGCCATCTCTCCCCCAGCTCTGTGACTACGTGCTGTAGCCTCGGACGCAGCAGACGCATTTTGGGGCTCATACGGAGAAATGGCTCTGAGTCAGCTCTCCGTGTTCGAGTACTGGACACTCCAAGCTACCCTCACAGTGCTCTGAGCAAAGAGCAAGTGAGGGACATGGTGACAGCAGCCCTGGCTCAGCACTTCGGAGAGGAAGGCCTGCATTTGGCTCTCTTGGTCCTGAGGGCTGACCTGCCTCTGTGTCCAGATGAAAGCAACGACACAGTTCAGCTCATCCAGGTAACCAAAAAATAAATAGAAGTCTCTGCCCTAATGTCAACTCTTCCATCTTCAGGTGAAAATAACTATGGAAGACTTGACTGCAAAAGTGAAATATTTCTTTTCCAACAATAGCCTAATGAATTGAGAGTGGCAGATATTAATTTCAGAACAAAGATTATATGATTTTGATTCCGCAGCAAATCAAAGCTCTCTCTCAAATCAAAAATCAAGCAAATCAAAACTGTTCTCTCTGAAACTGGTGACTCATGATTTCCTTGGGCAGCTTAAGGGAAAATTTTGTATGTATTTGATATTTTTCATCTCTAGTATCTAGAAGAGATTAATCACTATCAATACATCTTTTTAACACCCCACTTACCTTGAAAGTAGACAGACATCCCTTAAGGTAGTTCTGTATATCTTTATTTAGCATTTAGGTTTCAGAGCCAAGGTCGCTGGCAGTGTCCCTTATCACCAGGGTAGGCTTCTTGTCATATATAGGAGTTAACAGGATTGCACCAAAGTTGTAATTTCATTTACACCTGTAAATTAAAGCCCAACTTCTCTTATTCCTATTAAAATTTTCTGTACCTACTGAAAGAAAAGCAGCTTGTTCTCTCCATTCCCCTGCATCAGATAAATCACAGAAGTTGAACACAAACTCTCTGGGCCATTATTTAAGGTGTTGCATTTGATTTGTGTTTTCACTGAATTGCTGAGAATACTTCAGTTTTATGGATCACAGCTGGAACTGAAGTTACATAGAAATTCATCATTCACTTTTTCAACAAAAGGCGATTTGGTGTTTTTCAAACCAATTTTTTCCAAGAGCTGTAAACAGCATGGCAATACACGTATGTGGTAGCTACTGATTTCAAACTGTGTATCTCACAGGTGTGACATGGCTAAGCAAGCATTTTTCCTTATTTACATGAACATTTTTTAACTGGAGACATTCTGTTAACATCTGTAGCCAGGGAACAGAGAACTAGTACTGCATGACGATATATTTCCACTGGCAGTGGACGTGAATGTCTCGGAAAGGTGAAAAAAGACCTAGAAATTTCAGCAACTCGGATAACATGAACTGAACTACTGCCAGGAAAAAAAAACCAAACCAAACCATACATGTAACTTTTCTGTTAATGTAGTAAGTATATGAAATGGGAGTGGGGAAAGAAATAAGAGATAACTAATTAAGATTTGCTTTTCATTACAGGAACTTCTGGGTCCCACATGGAAGAATTTCACTGCAGTTCTACTTACTCATGCAGACAAGGCAGAAGAGGCCGGATACAGTGAGGAAACATACTTGCATAATGCTTCAAGTACCCTGTTGTCACTTTTGAGTTCAGTACAGCATAAATATATTTTCCTAGACAACCAAAACAGCATAATTAAAGAGGAAAGAAATACTGTCTTAAGAAAGCTCTTGAATTTTATTCAAAAAAATAATTATCAAGTACTACTTAAACACAGCAAGGAATAAAATTAGCTTTAAGGTGCTCACCTGTCTATTTTCTATAGTAGGTAACATCTAACAGAAATAAAACAGTAAAAGCCGTCAACTGGAAAACTCCACATCCATACCAAACACCTCTGAACACACAATTAGAAATATTTATTTAGATTATCAAACTACTTGCCTTCCACAGAGTACCTCACACTACTGCATTCAGAATCCTAGGTTCAATCCCAAAATCAGACTAAGCTAGTGCTCCAAAATCATGCTCCCAATATGTGTGTAGTTACAAATGAGGTTTTACACTACACCAGACTGTATATTCCAGTTCACACAGAATATAGATCTGAAAGAATAAAATTTAAAAATAAATTTAAAATAAAAATAAAAATAAAAAAAAATAAAAATGTGTGAGTTCAGAATCAGGGGGCCTCTTTGCTCAATTCTTCAAGCTTTCAGAAGTTCCTCTGAACTTCCATTTCTAAAAAGAGCTCTCTGGTACTAAAAGCTAAGATTTATCTATTGTAAAAGTATTTCCCTGCCATGATTCAAGATCAGTTATAACAGTTCTTGAACTACAAGGATTTTATTTATTAAGACATTATTGGATATACAGTTTACAAGGCAGATAAAATGGCTTCCATGTGCTTAATGCTATTCAGCATATTTAAAAGAATTACTTTTGCTTATTGCCAGATGCATGAAAAATTAACAGTTTACAGGCATAAACAAAACTCATTCAAAAACAAAATACGTTCATCTCCTCTTTATGTATGCTCCTTTTAATTTTATATCATTGTCATTTTGTTTTCTCTCCACTCACTGGATGAAGTTCAAAGCCTGCAAAATTTAGAAAGGCTCAAGTTTGGTTTTAATTTCAGCAGTTAAAATAGTATTTACTGTTTCAATGGTTTTACAGAAACTATTTAACTTAATAATATATGCAAAAATATCTAAAGTATCTCTCAATAGCTACTTAAAAAGGTTATTGTAAATTGATTAAAAATATTTATTTTCATATTAATGAAAGTAAGGAATTAAAATAAAATAATTAATTTGAGGCTAATACCTAGCAACATGACTATTTGTACATTACTATGAAATAACTAACTGAAAAAACTGAAGAAGCTATTTGTGTAAAAACCAAAGCACTTTTTGTATAAAACATCATCGCATAAAAGCACATTAAAACAAAACCAAAAAATCAATTAATTTTATATCCATTTGAGCACTGGAAATTGATTTTTTTTGGCTTGGGTGCTTTTTGAGTTTTCTTGGGGGCTGGTTTTTTGGGGTTTGAGGTTTTTTTAGTTTTTTATTAGTTCCAGGAATCTCTTATTATTTCTTAGTCTTACCTATAGGTTTGGAAGGATATACCTAGATGGACAAGACAAAAACTGTTCTAGTGAAGAGGCAGTTTTGATCTTAATGAAATTTTAACAGCATAGTTGTGGGGACATGAAAGTGTGTGCACTTGTACATCCTAGGGCATAAACCACCATGGTTTAATCTTCCAGTTACAACTGACTGCAGACTACAAAGAGAACACAGGCAAGAACAAAGGTGTAGAGGCTTATAATGCATCTGAAAACTGCTTGGAAAAAGAGGAGGAAAACTATTATAAAGAGACTAGAAGAACAAAGACAATTGTCTTCACTAACCAAATGTTAGTCAACTAGCACACGAGGAACACAGCAGAATGTTTTCCTTACTTCCTTTAGCTCTTGCTAAATAGAAGCTCTACACCTTCAGACTGTCCAGAAAATTTACTTGCCTGCCTGTGGTCTCACCACAAACAAGCCTTGGCAATTAAGTTATGAGCACTGAGTGGTTAACAACTGCTGACAACACACAACCTCAAGGACAATAAGCCTAGTCAATGAGTGAATTGTCAAAATGCTGGAGATGTAACATATTCTGGAAAAGAAGTCAAACAAAACAAGTCTCAGCCATGCATTTCATGTTTTTTATTGTGCTTGCATCACTTTCCATTTCAACATCTGTAAAAGTTTCTAATAACCACTTATTTATTTAATCCCGCTGTTTGCCATGGTCTCCGCCCTGCACACTCCTTTCCCTTTCACTTCAAATGGAACTCCTTTGTATGTAGCAACACACTGGTCATTGGTATGAAGATCAGGTTGGATTTGCTCCCAAATCTTCTTCTTTGGGTTAAGTTCCTTCTCAGGCTCTCCTGTTTCAAAACAAAGAACAAACTCATAGCACATAACTCAGAACAAGAGCTCTGTGTACTTACACATCTATGACAGCCCACAGCATCATTGCATACACTTTTAAGGGAAAAAAACCCCAACATTCCTTTTGATTCTCAAAATGAAAACTTTGATTGGAATTAGGAATTGTCTAGGAAATATCTCCAGAATCTCTTCTGAAAATGAAGATCTTTCAAGGGAAAAAGAATGTATCAGATAACAAGCACTGTCAAAAGGAAGAAATGAAACCACTGCTGTTAGTTTAAACTACAGACCAATATTAAGTACATACAGACCACAGAAGTACACTGTTTATCAAGACAAGTTAGTCAGCATCTTAAATTTAGAAATTAATGGTGCTTTTATAAGCAATTAAGTGCTGTTACAGTTGAGGAATACTAAACTTAGACAAGAATAGATCACAGACAGAATACTGACATATAATTTTAGCCTCAACTTTTAACACTGTTCTCCTATGCATTGTATTGATAATGACAAGCTCTGATGCCCAAAACAACAGAAACAGTAGAGATTAGCTACAGTTTCAGCAATTATGGCCTCAGTCTCCATAAGCCTTGGTTTCCTGTTTCCATGGATACAACACTATAAGATACCTACACCCTACAGGTATTGACAGTAACTAACTACATTAGAAAATCTGATTATTTAAGGATCTCTAATGACCAGAAAATGTAGGCGTTTTCTATTAATGTTTTGAAATATTGTCAACAAATTAGATAGCATAGTGAAGGATATTTTTCCTTTTTTTAAATAAGCATGAAATGCAAAGTACAGATACAAAACAAGCTAAATAATCTTGCTGCCAAAATTAACTGCTGACATAATCTAGATAAAAAAATTCACTCTACTATTATTTTCTGCTCAAAGGTAAAGTAAATTTAATCTCTTAATTCTGATACAACACAGACTACATTAAAAAACCATTAAAATAGTTTAATCTAAGACTGTTGGGTGCTTTTGACTTCTTGAGTGTCACACAGGCAAGACAAACTAAAAACTCCACAAGAATTGCACATTTAAATGCTCAAAGAAATCTCATGCTATTTCATTGTTATTAAAATGTATGTTTTTACTTGCTTGTTGTGCCATATTGGCAGCATTCTGCCCAAACTACGAAAATCAAAAGTTCCAGAACAAGCAAGAATCAAAAACCAAATCCTAGGAATCATATCCTCCCTGAGATCCTCTCAAAGGAGGAGCTCTCCAAGTGAGCAGAACATGAAGTACTCCCATGTAGCACTACAAAGTGTTCCCAAAGGTTCAGGAAGAAAAACTGTAAGACTACAAGGATTTTAGCATACCCCTTTCTAGTAGCTGGTTGAAACTCACTGCTTGTGAAGTCCTGATTGACTAACAAGTGGTTAAATCAACTACTAGTCATTCCAGCCTGCCTTGTGCCTCATTGGTATTCTCTTTTAAATTTTTTCAATAGTTCAGTATACCCACATTCTCAATGCCTGCAAACCTGGGTTATTTCTGTTTGTAGATGGGTTTAATTCTGTAATTTCTGTAATTCTAATGTTTGCAGTATATATGCAAGAGAAGCAGACTAGGCCAGATTTCTCTGTGAAGTAAGCTAGCCTCACCTGAGCAGTATTTAATACTGGAGTCAAGTAATCTCACAACCTGAGTGCATTTAGTATTTCAAAGAAAAATCAGTCATAACATTAATAATTATCTTTGTACAATATTTATAATTAATATTAAACAGAGGAAAAAATTTAAATACTTTAATTACTTAAATGATTACACTAGTAAAAAATTAAAATTATTAAATGTTTGGAGCTAACTGTACATCTTTACAAAAATAAATTAGCTTAATGCTCAGGTTCATGAACAAAGGCAAACTTGGATTTAGACCACAGTGAATGCATAAACTAATAAAATTATTGAACAGAATGTTAAGTGATCCATTGTACATTTTCCTTCCCCTCCTCAAATAAACAAAACACATGTTTTCTTGGTTTTTTTCAGTAAGAAAACCTCCTGACTTTTATTATAAAAAACACGCCTTGGATGTTAATAAGTTTCTTTGGAATCCTGAGTCAAGCTCCCTTGGGATCTGTGGTGAGCTCATATTAGATTAGCATAGGCACCAATTTTAAATACTACCAGAGCTTTAGGCTGTGCATTTTCCTATGTCTTCTCCTCACTGCATTCCTTTTTCCCAGAAAATATTCTTTAGAAGAGTTTCTATAAATAACATAAATTGAAGCTTTTAATGATTTAATCAGCTTTCCACTCTCTTTACCAAAAATGGGCCAAATAAGAGGTCCTAAATTTTGTCAAACACGTCATTCCATCTAGCAGCTTTAACATTACAAAGAAGTTTTCATAATAAGCAAGAAACCTCTCTACTTTGTAACAGCTCAACAACTACTGAAGGAATATATCTCAGCAAAGCAAGGAGCAAAAGGACATAGTGATGTGTGACTTTACTTAATGCCACTTACCCCACAGTGGATTGTAACCATGCAACTGAAGGAATGCATCCATACACTCAAGCTTTGATTAAAGAAATCTGCTAACTACAGGCTAACCACTGCACTCCAGCTTTACCACTTTTTATTTTTTAAAGAGACAGTAATTTACTAAACTGCTATTGATCCTTAGACATGAATGATAATTTAATTATAATTTATAATTGAATGATAATTCAAGTAACAGGTTTTTGGTTCATGTTGCATCAAAGCATCTGATGCTGCTATCAGAAAAGAGATTTCACAGTTAGCTATAAATCTTCAAGTATTATTGCTGTCTTAAGGCAATTACTGTGTAGGAGGTTATAGATTTACACACCCATGATAGAATAATTCTTCTGTGGTTTAAAAATCACTTTTTCCAGTGAAGATGGATAAAAATTTGATAAAGTTCTTTATGCAAAAAAGGCTCAAGAGACCTTGAAGATGCATGCACTGGAGTATAAAACGGTGCTAAAAATTCCACTGAGGGCAAAAACATCAGATAAATAAACAAAACGGAACAGTACTCCAAGCAACCGCACTCCTTATCAAATCACTCCTCTATAACACTCAAGATGGTTCTAGGTAAACACTCCAGCTGCTACAGAAAAAAATTAAACTGGTTTGAGACAAGATATCTTTTGTTTACTTTGACTAAAATAGACAAAGAAAATTAGTCTGTATCTCATGAATATTTTGTATAATGGAGAGAAAAAACTTAAAAATAGCTCAATTCCAAGCTGCTTGATAGACAGCTGTGTGCATTTTAGAATTGCTTTATTGCTGCTGGTGGTACTTCTGTTGCTTCACAGACTTTCATACTTCAAACTTAAGTAAGACCCAGCTGTCCTTTCTATTTTAACTTCAAGGACTCCCAACTGAATCTTTATGCTTTACAGTTACTTTTTAAAACGAAAAATTGATCAGAACATAAATGGTTACAATTAAGCAGTGAAATTAAATGAAATCTGACACAACAAGGAGTCTATCCTCCTGGTAACAGCATCAGGCAAGTGCCAGATGGTCTTTGATGAGACAGCAGCAGCTAAGAAGCAGAAGGTTTTAAGATAAAAAAGTGAGTAGAAGATAGATTTTCAACCCCATTAAACACTGAGAAACAGTTTTCCAGTCTCGCAGAGAGTTTCCCCCTTAGTTTACAACAGAAACATTGAAAAGACAAGTACCCAACAAATAAATGTAGAGAAGCAGATGTCACCATGATTTTGTAGGTCTCCATCCACCAATGCTTTTTTTTGCATTTTCATTCTCAATATAGTAAAATCACAAGTCTGAAAATTCTTGCCAGAGAGATTTCCTTTTAAAACATAGTATTATTTTAAAGTACTTCCAATTGGAGCATTAAATCACAGCAAGCTGAGCTATTTTTCTGTTTCATAAAGCACCTAGATGGAGCATTGCTTCCTTTATCATACGCTAACCAAAATATATCTTTTTTTTTAAAGCATCACAATTTCAGTCTTGAGAATTATAAAAATATATATTTCTGAAAGATATTTCATGCAAATATGTTCAAGCGTAGAGCTTGTGAAGAGGTTCATAAATCAAAACTCTGCTGTACCACTAGAAATTGTCAGAAGTGCAATAGTTTAAAAAGGTTCATACGGCTCTCTGCAGAAAATAAAAGTTATGCTATTTTCTCCCATGTGAAAGCCAACTTTTGAACAATAAATTCATCCTGAAGATGAATACTTCATTGATAAATGCACACACATACACTTTCACCCAGTATGGGAAATACTAGAAGTTGGACCGTGTTTTTTCAAGTTAAAGTGATGGAGTGATCCTGACCAGAAGAGCACTGTTCACCAAGATCTCTGTGATCCATTTACCACCTGACCCAAGTAGATCTGGGCTTGTGCTGTGCTGCACAAATTCCCAAATTCCTAGGCTGCAGGATTGTCAGGGAGGAGCCTACAGGCAGCTCCCATGTGGCACCAGTAACTGAGCCACCAGCGTGACCTCACCTTTATGGAACAGGGCAGCACCAAGTTCTCACACAAACTTCCTTTATGACTGACAGCCACAATGAGTAAAAAAATACAGCAGTAACTCAAACAATGGAAAGGGAAGAAACTGCTTATGGACAAGGAGTGCACAGCAAGCTGCAAGTACATTCCCATCATCTGTGCCATGTAAGATTATTTATAATAGTCTGTCTTTTCAGACTCAGCATTTTAAATGGCACCTCAGAGTACAACTGCCTTTTTTACGGGGATTATAATGAACCAGCAATTCCTGATAAAAACACTCATAACTATTATAAAAATTACAATATAACAGTGCTAACAAACACAGCAACAGAAGAAGCTGATCTGACTATATCCCTTTCAGACTGAGAATAATGATCTAGCATTTGGGTAGGAGGGGAGCATTCATCAACATGATAAATCTATAATGCTTTATTTGAGTTCCTAATATGCAGTCAAAAAATAATCATTTTCATAGAGGTGGAAGAAATGGAAAAATGGATGAAAAATCATCTTTTGATAAGAGTTCAAATTTGGTAAAATTCTCATTTATATTCTGAAAAAAGAGATTTACTGATTTAATTAAGTGGGAAAAAGTCCAAGGTCTCTCTTTGGAAACATAAGAAGACATTTTGTCCCAGACAAACAAACAAAAAACCCCTGGTGTATTGACTATTATGGGCTCCTCTCACAAATAGGAGACTTCCAGCCCCTTGTATCCCCTCCATCCCTTCTTCCTCAAATAAAAAAAAAAAACTACCCAAAATTCTGACACATTCATCACGGGGAGGTGCTGGAATTAGGAATTTAATACTTCATCACTTAGACTGAGACACTGTGAAAGATGCTTTGTATTTCCTTGTTGTAATTTGCCAAGTACAAATACTTTTATCCATGTATTTCAAAACTGAAATACTTACTGAGACTTAAAGGAATGGGGTGTTTTACATGAAAGTTCTACACAACTTTATCAATTTAAAATTTTTTGACAGATGATAAAGTATTTTCAATCCTTTATTTACACAATATTAGCATGGTCATTAAAAAAATAATAGAATTATTTCAGAAAATTTCAACAAAAAACCCAGTCAGCTTTAAAAACAACTGTTTTATGTGCTTCAACACTGATATTACCTTGACATACCTGTTTCTATCATTTTCCAAATACCTACTTACCAGGAAAACCTTCAAAAGTGATTCTGTCCCCAGGTACCGCTCCAGGTGGGGGAGCCAGAATTTCCACTTTTTCTGGGGAGCTGGCACACATCACCATTGCTTGAGATACTACTCCTCTCATCTTTGCAGGCTTCAGGTTACAGAGTAGTACTGCCATCCGATTCTGCATCTTGGGGGAGGAAAACAGAAGGATTTGAGTACTTAAATGCCATGTGGTTTTGGGGATGCCCATCATTTCATTATAATGAGAGAACTGCAGTGATGACATCTTAACACGACAAGCATAAGAAAAGCATGTAGCCAACAGATTCAGTTTTAATGCCTGGACACCACTAACATAATATTTATAGCCCTTAAGAGCTGGCCAGTGAATAATGGATTAAATGCTCAAATGTGACATATTTATTTTGGAAATATAAAATATGCAATTTAGAAAATTAAAAAGCAGGTAAGGCATTTCACTTCCACTCCATCTTTATTCACTACAGACCACCACTTTAGTCCACTTTCAATATAGCACTATTAACCAAACAATTTCTATTTAATGATGATAATACTAAAAATAACAAAAACAAAACCAGGCTACAAATTAGGCCCATAGGTAAAAATTTCAAACTGTATCCTGGAAGCTTAGAAGTTTTTTACATAACAAGCTCACTTGAATCTTACATTTTCTCTTAGTTGATCCAAATGCCTTGAGTTTATTTTAACCACTGAAAATGGCTGTATATACTGTACACTGAATTTTTTAGTGCAAACCTATAAAACTACGTTTCTCCATTTGTTGTTTTATTTTAATAATTACAATCGTAAACCAGAGAAAATATTCTTCGTTCAGAGAAACTGCCACACTTTAGACTCTAAAACAAACCATGCTTTCAAACTGAAGAAAAATGAAACCCTGAATATTCTTGAGAGATGAAGTAAGGACATCTTAATTCCCATGCTACTAGTGAACATTATATATAAAGTATTTCATATTTCTAGATTTTGGTCTTTGTGCATCACAAATCTTGAACCTGTGGGATTAATAATTAATAAAACTCATATGATCAACTATTTCAAACACTGCATATTTTCCAAGGAGAACACCTCAAAAACCAAAAATATAAATACCCAAAATGAGGCAGCTGATAAGAAAAAGTTATGTCATCTAAGTTTCAAATCAGCCTATTTACGAAAATTTCTCAAGTTATTGCTATGGAAATAAGTAGCACAAAACACAAAAAATTGTTGTCAAATGTCAGTGACTGAAATGCAAGTTGTAGCGTTATCTAGCACTGGGTAACAATTAATGAATGGAATACTAATTACTGGGTAGACATCACAATGATCTAGAAAGAAAACATCTTAAGGCATCTAAGTGGAAGAAAAAGTTTCTGCTACAAAAATCAGAGTATATTGTTCATAAAAGATGCAACTGTATCCTCTTACAACCAATGGTTGTAGAATAGCATTTCTGGAGGATGATGGTGGCTTTTTCCTTTCTTGTTAAGATACATTCCCTGCATTCCTATTCTTCACTTCTGATCACTGACATGAGGTTCTCTTAGGTTAAGGAGCTGAAGGTGACAGAAAGTGACACTGGAAAATCGCCTGTATTTCAAGAACAATTGACTGTAACAAGTATTGATGCTAGGAACACACAGAGATCCACTTCAAAAAGCCAAATCAGTGGCAGAAAAGCTGTCAATTCCTTCTGACATTTCAGGAATTTCCCCAATTCTCCCCAGCTGCCAGAAGACCTCGGCAATGGCATGGTCCACCTCATGCCAAGATCCTTCCATCTCCCTATTGCTTGAGACCCAACTGCTCACAACAATAGAGAGCTGAACTTCTAACATGGCTTCACCACTATGTGAACAAAAGCACATCACATCTAAAGTGGGCATGCCAGAAGTCTTCACACCCATAAATAACTTGCACTGCATACTGAAATGCTAGTGAAGATACATACTGTGTTTCCTAACCAAAAGTAAAATCAGATGATACAAATTTTACAGCCTCAAACACTGCTAAATTACCACATCAAATACCAAAATCATGAACAGATGAATTTTTTGTGAAGAAATTTATGGCTATGGTCCTTGATCTGATGTATATATTTTTATTTCAATATATGGCAGTAGACACATGCCAGGCCTTCAAATTTTTGAACACTTCAAAAACACAAAGATGGAAGCTTGCCCCTAAGAATTTATTGTCTTAATAGATACTTGCCAAAACCAAAAACAGACACGCAAACAAAAATGTTCACAAAGAACGTGCACAAGGATGACCCCTAATTCTCTGCTAATGAGTATTTCAGATTATTTTTCCACTCAGAAAGAAGGCTAAAGAAAAAAAGACTCCTGCTGCCATTTCATTCTATACACTTCATGCTTGTAAGTCTCTTTAGAATGGCTTTTAAAATGTTTTCTTCTACATGCTTTCTTGAAAGCAGATTGCTAAAAGCAAGCAAGACGCGATTTTTCCCAGTGCAAATCCAGCAAGTGGACACCATCAGGTGATCAGTGCAGACTAGTTACTGTATTCAGTTGGGTTTACAACAATCACAATTTTAATTGCTTCCTATGCTTGCAGTCATTCCATGGGGACAGTGTGCAAGTAAGGAGTGAAAAGACATTCAAGAAATTGGAGCTTTTTCCAGACCAATTAAGATCAATTCCTTCGTGATCCATTTTGCAGTTGCTCTACACAACACTGTTTTGAATGCCAAGGTTGCATTTGAATTTAGGAGCAGCCTTCAGTCAATTCCTCTCACCCTCTAGAAGAGGTGTGAAAGGAAAACTAAATCTTGAAGCCTTAGATTGTTCAAAGGCACTCATAAACCATCTGTATCAAATACCAAAGTGTATCAACTAAAAAAAACACAGACACAGATTCTATTCTGCACAAGGAAGTAAAAATATGCATTTTGTATTCCATTGTTGCTTAAATTGTTCATTGCCAGCTAAGTTGAATTTACATGTTCTCTGCTTTACTTCATGCCAAATAATTCAACAAGCTATAAAAAAAGAATTGGAAGGCAATAGTTTCAAAAGTTTGGATCATACCAAAAAAGTTACTATGATTTCTCTACTACATAGTAGGAAACCTAAACGAAGAGTAACATCTGTTTAATTTAGGAGTCCAATGTGTACTGATGGCAGGGGAATTGGAGTAAGATCCCAGGATAGAAGCACTGCCATCAGAAACTGATTTGGGGTAAGGGTACTTCTCTGGTATCTGGCAAATGTTGTTAAGCATTACTTCCATCTGCATTTTATTTTTGTTTTCATGACTTTACAAATCTTTTAGCAGAATAAAAACATATCCTATAAACAGATGAATGCCTTAAGATACTTTAGGAAAGGAAAAGTTATCAGTAAATAATTTTGTCAATACCTTATCCAGAGGAACATGTTTCACTAAACCGCTGACAACAGTCCTTGGGCTTGCCTCACCAACATCCACTTGTTCAACATACAGAGTGTCTGCATCTGGATGCTTTTCAGCAGTAATAATGCAGCCAACACGAAGATCCAGACGAGAAACATCTACAGGTTTTGCATCGCTACTTCCAGCAGCTGGCTGCTGTTTCTTCTCCTTCTTTTCACCTATTAGAGAATATCTTGCTCATGAAATAAACATTATCAAAAGCACAACTAGTGTATATGACTACTGCAAGGGAAAAGCAAGCTACAGTCTCAGAAACAAGCATAAATTCTGTGCAAAACAAGAAAGAGTTAGCACCTCTGTTACCAGTTTCCAGTGGTGAATCATCATATACACTTCAATTTACATCATTGTCTCAACTAATTACCATCTCCTGTTTGTAAAGTCGCCCTGAATTTAAGCGCAACGTGTGACAGACATACTCTGACAAAGGCCACATCAATAAGCCTGATCATCTCATTTGAATAATTAGCAATTACCAGTAAGCCTTGCCATGGTGTTTCACCAGCAAAACAAAAGTAGGGAATCACATTCCATCAGGCTAGGAGTGCTAATCAGCACTGTACACAGTCAGGAGCTGTGAAGTCACTGCAACTGCACTGTCACAGCAGCAATGTAACCCTTCAAGATGACCTTAGCCAACATTCTGCACTTCCCAAACACAACAGTGCATGAAAAGGCTCATGGCTTACAAGATTCCCCTGGTGTGGTGTCTTTACCCCATGATCATCACACATACAAACCATATAGTATAAAACAACAGTGAAGCAACACTCCCCATACTCAGCTGCTTATTTAAATCATGGAATCATAAAATACGCAATATTCTTTCAACAAGAGAAAGTTACATCCAGTTTGTGGATAAAACTGCAGTTTAGGAAACGTTCAAGAGCTGTTCAACAGCTATAATCTCTGGGAGATTAAAAACAGTCTAAGATGTGCTTACTTTAAATAAGCATATTCTGCTATTCTTTCATCCAAGATAACTTACATATTAACGTAAGCTAAACTCCCTTCTTAAGGGAGCAAAAAACGAAAAGTGAACACAACATGCAACTTGATTTCATTCTTCACAATTTAATTTCAGGCCTGAAATTAAACGATATATTCAATAATTAAAAGACAATATATCTTTTTAATTCAATAATTTTTTAATGTATGCAACATTATTTGCTGCATACAAATTGTATGAACAAAATATTTGTTCATTTATGATGAATGAAACGCTGTAGTGATTATGACTTGGGTTTTTTAATGTAATTGATAATTTAATTAATAAACTCAATCATATATAGAACAATGTAAAATAAACTGGAAAAAAATCCCAATCTAAATAGCTAACATATAATAGCTATGATCAGTTGAAAGACGTGCTAAGTTTATCCTTGGTATAATTCCACACTGATCTCCATGACACTCCCCTACAAGAGAAATTAAGTCTTTTCTCAAAAGAGAGAGAACACAGAAAATGTGTACATGGTGTGTACATATACAGGTAGATGGAAAACACCCATTTCAATGCCACAGGCTAAGGAGAAAAATGCATTCCTCTGGCCAGTGTTGGGAGTCAGTCCAGAACCAACATCCAGAGAAATCACACAGATGAGGTTTGAAAGAAGTAGAACAAATAAGAGAATAACCAGAGAGGACAGGTGACATAGGTGACAGAAAGCAAAGCGATTTGAGATAGTCCATCATCTCACCAATTTCTAGACTTAAAAACAAATTTTATGTATTGGTTGCTTCAACTGTTAAAAGCAATACCTTCAACAGATGCTGATCTCCACAGAAATAGCCTGTGCATGGCTACTATTCAACATTTGTGCTATGTTTCAGCAGACAGCAGAAGTCTAACACTGCTTTCCATATGAGATGAGCTGAGTTGGTCAGAGCACGGTGCTAGTAACACCAAATTTGTGAGTTCAACCCCTCTATGAGCCATTCACTTAAGAGGTGGACTTGATGATCCTTGAGGGTCCCTTTCAACTCAGAATATTCTGTGATCTGTGTTTGACTGGCTGAATTTAAGCTACTTGTACTGTACTTCCCTTCATCATATACAGGAAGTTTTGTTTTTCCATACCAACTGAATATTTGCTCTGTAGCCACTGAATACTTGAGGGAAAAAATTAATTGCCTGATAGGACATGTGGCCTCTGATTTTGTATTTACAGCTTCGTGGAATATTAATGTGTCAAAGGCTACTCCATGACAAAAGGGTGAAATACATAAAAAATATAAAACAACTTATAAGTCTCTGTACAGCTCACCAGAAAAATAAGAGAGACTGTGCACTATCAGAATATTCAAATTCTGAAAAACTGTGCAAGTCTAATCATAGCAGATTAACAATAATCTGCATAAGAGAATGAAGGTAAAACATAGGTTTAATTTACAAGATACTCTTGCACAAAAGTACAGGTGTCCAACAGACCTGCCTTGATTTTTGTTGATGGTGATCTTTCAAATGAGGAAGTGCAGTCACATTAAACAGAATCTGGCATGTACCCCATGGAAGGAAGAATCTGTAGCTTACCTGATAGCCTTCATTAGCTTCAAGTACTTTAAAGATTGATGAGCTAGCACATGACTCTTCCTCACTGTAGCTGTATGAAAGCTTTTTATTTTTCTGCTCAAAATCATGCACAAGCATTTGCATAAATTAAATACCTCAACTGTCTATCAGAGATAAGAAAAGTGAAGTACCTTTTTTTTCTGCTTTTTCCTTCTTTTTCTTTTCTTCATCTTCACCTTTAATTTGATCTTTGGAACCAGAAGATGCTGTAACTGCTGCAGGTTGTGGAACATCCTCTGAAAATGAAGCTGTAGAAAGGGTTGTACCAGGAGGAACTGCAACCTGCTTTACTAAAACCAAAACCACAAAAGTTAGAGGCAGTACCAGAACTTTGAACACTGACATTTTTAAGTGTGCAACATAAATGAAGAAGAACTGAAAATTTTGCTTAATATACTAAAACACAACTGCTGAGTAGTGAACCACATCACAAAACACATTTCAGAACTCAATCTATATATGATTATTATGATCAATTAAAACAGTGTTTGACTACACATTTTTTAAATGCAAAAAAGTGCTAAATACAATAAAATATGTAAGCAAACAACATCTCTTTTTGTAGTTGATTTCAACATCTAGTTATTTTTTTCTACCAATGCTGCATTTCTCACTTGTTTAGTTTCAGTTCATAGCTACTAGCTCTTGTCATATTGAAGACTATTCCATAAATGAGTTATGCACAAAACAATTTTTATAGTGTATTCAGATCATCCCTCAACTCTTACAATTAAGAAACTGAGCCTGAATAAATCATAATTACATGATCTGCTGATTTCTCACTTCCTTTCCCTGAATTCTCCACGTTACCTCCAACAGCTATTTTTAACTGCTGATAACAGAATTCTGGACATTGAACTATCAATCTTACCAGATGAAAGTATAAGAATCACCTCTCTTCTACATTTCTGCTCTTCAAGAATCTCGTCAAGGCTTTTAACCAAATAATTGCACTGAGTAAGCATCATCAGTGCTCTAGACAGTTTCATCAAGGCTCCCTTTCCCAAGAAAGGATAGATGAGATGATCTTTTGAAGTTCCTTTCAAACCAGGCTGTTTTATCATTAACGACAGATAAATCCTTCTGGTCTCACCATTACAGAATTCTCCATTCTGCATAAATGTTTTGTTTTGCATTTCAGATATTCACTAACTTTCTTGAAGAACTACACTTTGTTAGTTGATGCCTGTCCTCTTCAACATGGAAGTGATTTGCACAAATTATATTCTTATAAACTACTTTCTAAATTCATTTGAATATGAATTTTTTTGTATCAACAACTACTTGCTTGCTAGTTGGGGAAAGTCTTTGTTTCTCAGGTTTTTGAAAAAATATCTTGTGATATTTTTGATCTTCCATGTCCCTCTAATTTCTGTACTCAACTACTTAGTCCTTTCAAAGCTAACAAACATCTATTTCCTTCAAAAGAAAAGATCTGAAATTTGTCCTACTATCACTGTAGTAGATTTCTTTGCTATCTTGGACCAACATACCTTGAGACCTCACTCAAGCACAACAGATTCTGTGAAATATCCTACTGCTGCAGACTAACAGACAACAGAGAAATATAACTAATGGTTTGGTTTAGTACATGAAAAGGCTTTTTTGGTGTCCAAAGGAGAAAAAGAATTCTCTGTATTCACAATACGTTGATCTTTTTGAAGACTCAATGTGGTTTTATACCAGTAACACATTCAGTACAGTTACATGCTAGCATCAGATACACTGAATACTATCCTAAACAATTGACAATACAGATAGCATGGATTAATAGCAATAACTGTTGAGTGCAGAAGAGGATTTTTTTGCATTAATTTTAAAAGACAACACAGTGTATCTGAAACACTTCAGTTTTCGGGTTTTTTTTCCTCTTCTCTTTTTTAATATGAAGTACCTAATGATGGTACAAGCAGAACAGAGCTACATAGAGGAGAGCAAAGAAAAAGTCCAATGGAAGGCTGGTCTAAAGCATGGAATCATAAATTCAGAACACATTGTTTCTAAATTTACCACAGCCTTCCTAGCAAGTCCCTGACCATCTGTACTTTGCACCATGGCTTGATTTTTCCATAGTGATTTTTCAGTCATGCTAGATTAAATACTCAAAGTAGCAAGAAGAGTTCGACATGCAGAAATTTCTAAAGCATCACAAGGAGTCATTGTCATCAGTGCGGTTCACGGCTTATTATGAAAGGCACTGAACAAAAATATACTAAGAACTAGTTCCATGTCTGATTAAGTTTAGTATATGAATCTGTCAGGCCTGCAGCTTATTAAAATGTTGGAATCAAATAACTTGTCACAGGCATGGAACCAGGGAAAATCCAGAATTTTTAATACCATAGTCACAAATAGAACAATAAAAATCAAGAATTAAAATTGTTTGGTGCTAACTACATCTATGTTATATGAGAATAGAACTTTTTTCCCCTACCTCCATTTCGAATTTCAGCCTGAATCAGTTCCTGTTTCAGCCCTTCAATTTCTTTCTTCAGTTTAGCATTTTCTACACGGAGCTTCTTCTCTTCTCGAAGAGATGCTTGCAAGACTAGAGTTGACACATTTGAAAAAAAAAACAGGTTCAGTAACTATCATTCATCACTTCGGACACAGACGTTTGTTTTTAAAGAAAAGTTAAACATGGTGACCCAAACAGCACAAAAACTTTCAAGGAATATATAATCAGAAATACTTGGGAATTATTTCCTTTATTATTGAAATAGCCCTTTTTACAATACATATATATTCAATTTGCCTTTCAGTATACTATCTTCTCAGTCCCCTAAACAGGATCACAAGAAAAAACTCCAAGAAACCTACAGAAAAACCTTGATGATGTTTGTAATATAGAGCACCTTCATTCACTGATACAGTTAAGTACAAAATAGCAAAGCTGAGGATATGACACTCTTGAGAGAATGCCATAGTTGTGAAAAAAATAAATTCAGGATAAGGTGTAGTCTCATATTCTTTCCAATTCCCTCAGTCCCTTCAAACAGAATCATATCTTATCAAATTTCTGTAATTTGTGTATTAATTCTTCCACATCCATACCTCTTCTATTTCAGAAAAAGCAGCTTCAAAAAACAAAACAAAACAAACCCCCCACCACTGAAGTGGTGCTGCTATTACAAGGTTTATCTTGGAAAACTCAAAACACGCTTTAAAGGCTGACAGCACCAAATATTCCCATTTTCTCCTACGTGCATTTACTGTTTTCCATCTGGTTAGTAGGTTTAGTATAAGATAGGTAAATCCTTACTGGCTTTTTCCTTGAGCAGGGCAACTTGTTGCTTGAGGTACTCAATAACTTGATCGGCCTCTGCACCCTTCTGCTCCAGTCTGTTCAGCACTGCATTGTTGGCTGCCATCTTTACCAAAAAACGGGGTAAAAACCTAGACAAAAAAACAGCCTAAAATTAATGACTTCTCAATGCAGTAACACTATTATCTCTTACCACATCAAGCAGTTCTCAAATCAGTTGCTGAATAAGAAAATTTGCTAAGTGAAAGCTAGGCTCTCACCTCCTAAAGCAAAGCCCAAACAAAATGCAATGTTAAAAAGAATCTGATGTTTGACAGCTGCTTTCAAGTATTTTGGAAGAAAAGCTATTTTTCTTCCCAGCTGCAGAAAATGTGTTCCTCCTTCATGAAACAGAAAAAGAAAAAAATCTAGCTTCTCAGAAAGGTATGAACACATGTGTGGGGTGGGTGGGATTAGGAAGGAAATAAAAGGGAAAAGATTGGACAGGAAAATACTGTATCCTGGGCTTAACTAAAGAAAAAAAAAAAATATAGAGTGTATATCAAATTTTATTGAGACTAAGAAAATGGACTCATCCCACAGTTTCCAAACGTTTTTGATACATTTATTCAGAATATACTGAATACGTTGTGCTTGTGCATATATTATGAATTTACTGTTGTTTTACTTTTAATACTCATAATTAATTGAGTATTTTTAGTTATCTCAGATAAAAACAACTTTTATTACAGGCTTAGACCTTCTGAGTTATTTTAGCACAAATTCTGATTGTTCAATTTTGCATCCACTGAAATGGAAGGGCCAGCACACAGAAAACAAAGAACCAGGGGACACAATAGTCCAGCAAAGAGCATAAATAAATGATATCTAACTCTTTTTTATGGTATTCGTAATTTACTAATGTTTCACTAATGTTCCACATAGTAGCTATGCCTTGTGTAGACCCTTTGTTTTTCGAAAGCTGAAATCTGGCCTACCCTCCTTCTCAGTGATATTTGTATCTAAACACAAGAGCTCAAACAGTGGCAACAGAATGCTGAAAAACAATTACAATCACTCATATCTCCAGCAGACAGTGCTTCTTCCTTCCCACCCAGTACCTAAATGAGGAAAGAATCTGTACTAACAGCTGCTGCGTCTGTAAATCAAGAAAACTGGTTACAGGTGGGAAGATCTTTACAAGCAATGGTGATTTAATTCCTGTGAATTTGTGCAACAAATGAAAGAACTGGTAAGAAAACGGCAATCCAGGCACATGTATTGGTTCCTCAACTTTATCAAAATCCAAAAATGCCTATTCTCATATCAAATTGGCAGAAAACTTTCTATTTTATTCCAAGACTATTATTGTAACACTATGATCTAAATCTGGTTTTTACATATAAATGTTCCCTTTTGGGATATGCAACAAAAGTCATGCTGAAGATAAAAAAGGTTAGAAATCACTGAAAGGTGAGCAGCTACAATCACACTCATGCCAGGGTTAACATACTGCCTCTGCTGCACTCTAAAAATCAATACACATTTTATATCTGTTCTTATGTTATAAATAACTCAAATCTTTACAGGAATATATTTAAATAAATTTTAAAAAATTAATAGTAAAAAAACCTCAGAAAACGAACTACAATTATTCAGGAATAGTATATTTAAAAGGAATAGTGTATTTAAAAGGTCCCAAAGCAAAATTCACAAAGCCAGAGAGAGATGTAGTAGTCAGATGATGCATGGGGTATCTTGCAAACGTGATGCGTGAGCCAACATCTTGCCTTCTTTGCAATGCAATACAATCAAAGTCTATTTTAAACACACTGTCTCACTTAAAGATAGGAGTATTATGGCCATCACACCTTCCACTCATCCACACCAGTTTTCTTTTAAAAGAAAGAAACTCTCTTGGAGCAAAGAGCAGAAAAATCTCTCCAGGACAACTAAATTAATTTTTATATTCAAATTAATGTCTGCTAACAAAAAAATAATTTTGTTTTCATGGACAGGCTGAAAACAGAGAGTTTCAGATAGGAAAGCAGTGATTCCAGTAAGTTACTAATTAAGATGTCAAATGGAAACAGACATAAAACTATTATGGCACAACACAGCATAATACAAAGCCTGAGATATTACTGTCTGCATACCAGTAAGATTTCTTGCAAGCTACAAATTCTCTCAGGGGAACACAGTACTAACAGTGGAAACTTTGCCAATAACAGAAATGCTACTAAAACTTCAAAGTGAATAGAATTGGTACATTTTATAGATTTTAGCCAAGTTGGCTAATGAACTGAAGATCTGGAAATGAAGTTACATGATTAAAATTTTCCCATTTGTCCAATAAATTTCTGTAAAGCTAGTATTGTAACAATAACACAAAGGAATAGGTATTTCCGATGCTAATATAAAAAGGCAACAGGCTGAAGTGAACTGCTGCAAGAACAAGCACAGGAACCTATACAGCAGTCATAAAACTGTATCCAAAAAATCCACATTAAGGAAAAAAAGATCCACCCTCTATTATAGAACACAAAACTCAATTAAAAATATGAGAACTGAAACAATCAAAGGTTACAGTCAATTTTCTTTTTTTTTATTTTTTTAACCTTTACCCTATTTTCTTTGCCCTCTACTATCCTGTCACCCTAAGACAAAAAAATTCTAAAACAACCAATTCTTATTTGTGATAATAACTGGAAAGAAAACCAGAAATAATACAGCTTAAAAACCAGATCAGAGCTCACTGCAGATACATTCTGACCTGTTTAGGAGAAAATATCCCCAAGAGCAACTAAAAGTAAAGTCACTTCATCCAATTGTGCCTAATAAGCTTCTTTCCCTTGTTTTGAAAGACAGGTATGGCATAGTTACATTCAGACATTCTGGAAAAGTCCTCCTGAAGTCCTCCTGCTTGTTTAGCTAAGGGAAACTGTTTTATCTCAGAACTCTGTGGATTGCTGTGTTATTTGCAAGACACTCAGAACCGCTCCAGAACACATTTGCTCCATTTAATGAAATTCAGTCTTGAAATGAAAGATTCAAGCTGTACAGTTATTCATTAGATTACACATCAACACTTGAGAGCTCTTTAATGTTTCATCATTCTACCTGCTGATTAAGAGAGCTGCCCATCTCTTTTTAAACTGAAAACACTGCCTGCTACCATCTTCTAAGTAGCTACAGTACCCTCACAGGAGAAAACAGGCATTATCTTACTTCGTTGCTCAAAAACAAGTAGTGCAGAAGTGTCTCCAAAGTGGCAAACTCTCTATAATAAATCAAGACTTATCATATAGTACAAATTACCCCCAAATTTTAACACGTTTTGCAAATACTTTATCAACATTGGCCTCAACCTTAGAATATATCCAGATCAAAAACTGAACACACAAAAGATGCTAAAAATATAAACCTGGTTGTAGCTTACTCGTTACTTGTTAAAAGCAAGAAAAAGCCAAAATCTCCATAAAATTAATGACAAAATTTAAAACTTTAAAATTAGTTTTGGAATCTATCCATAGTCTGAACCTGGAACCAATTACTTTCCAGGATTGGAAAAGCAACTATTAAACAGCAAAAACAAAACCACAAACAAACAAGCAAAATAAAAAGCAACACCTGAAACTGGAAAATCATTGACTCCTAAAGCCTAAAACAATCAGCTCTGAGCATTCCTTATTCCAGCTGGAAATTTTAAAAAGCTCAGGACTTTGAAGCTCTCAGCTTTTGCTTGCACTGCTTTGCTAAGTATCAACACACAAAGTAAGATTACAACTGCAGGAGATCTAACCACAAGTGCCTCCTTCTCTCTTCCTCTCCCACATCCATGTTAATTCCTTCACAATAAGAGGGTAAACTTTGACAGCCCACCACAGCTGGACAGCATTCTCCTCTGCATGGAGCTCTACTCTCACCCATCACTGCTCTTTGCTCTGTGCTTGTCATGGAGGAATCAAGGCTTCCTACAGGAAAGCTAATTCTATTCATCTATAGCAAAGTGGCCAAGGTGGTGCTCTCTGTGAGGCATATGGTTATGGTATGTTAATGAGTGACTGCCAGGCAAGACCTAAGATTTCCTTCTCTCATAAGAGGAAAAAAATGAAGATCTGCAAAGAGACATTATGGCTTTTCAACTGAGATGGTCCGTTCAAATTAAATAGAACCAGTGGCTTATTCTAAAAGTTACCAACACCACAAAGGTAATTTCTCCAATGCTAATTAAAGCTCAATAATTTAAACTATATTAAAGTACTTGATGTGTTCAAAGCCTTCTATCTGAGCATCTTTTCTGAGTATGGTCCTTTCTGGCAGACAATCTTACAAAAAACCATAAACAGAATGTGCCAGCTGTTTGCCAGATTCTGCTCTCCTGTGCTTTGCACTTCTATGAGCTATGAGGATACAGTGAATCAGATTTGAGGATCTCACATCACACCTTTTTATTCTGCAAGGTAAGGAACAACAGTTAGTAGATCAAAACAGAAGAAAGCAGATTGGAAGTATGTTTTCTTTGGCTGAACCAAAGTATCACTGCATCTAGGCAACTGCTGTAACTCATCCCACCTTTTCTCATCTTGGAGAACTGAGATCCATGATTTATAAATCAATCCTTTCTTAAAGGTTTCTCCTAACTTTGATAAATTGTTCTAGGCCTGATGCTGTCAACATCTTTGACTAAGATTGAGAATACCTGATTTGATGATTTCACATTTTTGGTAGAAAAATTTAAGGTCTAGCTTTCAAACCTCTGAAAATTTAAACCATATTAAAAAAAAAATCCAAGCCAAAACACAAGAGAGATACAATTAATTAGTTTAGAGATCTAATCTTAGTTTTGACTTGGTCATCCCCAAGTAACTCACTCTAAATAATGCAAAGAAAATCAGCAGTCTTAGGGAAGCAATGGCCTGAAACACTTTGTTACAAATTTTCAATTAAACAGTTCTGTTGCTAGGACATTCTGGAAATAATATATATTTAGCAAGTTTTGCGGACTTATACCCATCACTACCACAAAAGGTTGGGTATTTCACTGGCTTTATACCTCTTATACATTTTAAAACAAAATCATGGCTTTTATACCCATATATCCCTTCTCAGGAAATTAAGTTCCAAAAGATCATATGATTCCAGACTTTAA